GCGGCCTTCCTCGTTGAGGCCGTCACCTTCGCGGAGCTCTGCGCCGAGATTGCGAGTTGTCTGCACCCCATCGTCACACCGCTGAGGCCCGAGCTGCTGTGTCTGCGCCTGCACCTTCATCAGCAGCAGGGGCAGGAGGAAGAAGCCGACGCACGTGGGGTGCCGATTATATCAGAGGACACATTCGCGGAGGCTGTGCGGCTCGTGGAGCGCCACGGCGCCGACTGCATGCCCGTCGTGAGTGTCGACACGTACATGTCGTTGCGGCTGTCGCACCCGGCGTCGCCGTCCCCCGCACAGCCACTCGCCGGTTAGCGTCATTCGCCGCCGAGGATGTAGGCTCTGCACGCTTGCGTCTGTGTGTCTTGCCCTGTGGATGTGCGCGCGTGTGTCTGAGGGTGTGCTTTTGCGGGAGTTATTCTTGCACCTCGGTCTCTCTCTCTCTCTCTCTCTCTCTCTCTCTCTCTCTATCCTCCTCGTCCTACCCGCTCACATCTGCTGCACCTCACCGCCGTCAGGGAGCAAGGCGGGGAGGCGCGGTCTCTCCCCACACATACACACACGCTGGTGGGCGGTGGCGGTGGCAAGGGATGAAGCTGCAGATTCACTTCGGGTCAGGGACGTTCTGCGTTGACGTCGATGACGACGACGACGACGCGGACTTCCTCGTGCCGCAGATGGTGCGGCTCGTGCAGCTCGTCCTCCCGCACCTTTTCGTGAAGGTTTTTCTCTCACGTGAGGGCGCCGATCTGCCGCACGTGGTAGCGCAGGCGATAGACGAGCCGCTCGCACGCCGGCACAGCCTGCACAACGCCCTGATGCGGACGCCAAGCCGCACCAACGCCAGCACGACGGCTGCGTCCGACGTGCAGTATCATGTCATGCTGCAGGCTCAGACCAAAACGTTCGGGCCGTTGTTGATCATCAACAGGAAGCAGTGGAATTTGACACGCGAGGTAGTCCTTCGTGAAGAAAAAGAACGGCAGCAGCAACAGCAAGAGTCACCTCCATTAGCCCAGCACGACGCTGTGGGGGAGGCGGTTATGAGCCTAGAGGTGGTCATGCTGCAATATAAAGCCGACAGTGGTTTCCTCCACGTCTGCAAGTACGATGAGCTGGCGGCAGGGTCGTCGCCGGTGTCATCGGCGTGCCACGAGCACAGCGCGACTCACGTCGTCGGCGTCACCGACACGCGCGGCAACACACTTGGTGAGGTTCGCCTCGAACCCGAGCGGCCGCCGCTCCGGTGCAAACTCGAAGAGGCTCTGCAGAAGATGCTGCCCGCACCGCTGCGCCCGCTGCGCATGGCGTATCGTGTGTATGGTCAGCGAGAGTTGCTGCCGCTGGAGAGCGACGCAGACGTCGCCGGCCTCGTACGCGATGTGCAGCAGTTCAGCTGCAAAAACATTCTTATCGTCGCTGCACTTCCGTCACGCTCCTGCGCAACACCAACGGGTGCGGCTGACGTGCGTGCTTCTGTAGATGTCAAGGCGGCTGTGTCGAAGGCACCACCGCCACAGGTGCTCAGCGAGGAGGAGTCTGCAAAAGCGCAGCATAAAAACGAGGAGACCCGTCAAATGGTTGCCGCGTATGCCCGGCTCATGCAGGCGCTCCGCCACGGGGTCCCAGCGACGCCACGGGGAGAGCAGGCGACGACGCGGGCGACACCACCATCGCCTTCACGCAAGAAAAGCATCAGCAGGAGTGGTAGCGGCGGTGCTGTTGGTGAAGGGGCGGCATGTGACTCGAGCGGTGGCGCCTACCTCCGCGTGCGCTACGAACTCGACCCGGTGGAGGTGCATGTGACGGGGCCCATCACAGAGAGCGAGCTGCAGCGCCTCGCCGACGCCATTGTGGCACGCTGTGTGCGTCACAACGATGATGACGACAGCGGCGGCAGCAACAACAGCAGCAAGGCTACCGCTGGGAAAGAACCGCGGTTTGAGCGGGTGGCGAGCTCTATGTACACCTTCTGCCTGCGCGACTGCGACGCCTTCGACGATGCGCAGGTGGCGGCACTGGAGGAATGTCTCGTCGATGTCGTCACGAGTTTCGGATGCCGGAGGGTGGAGGAGAACGGCCCGCTGCCGTGCGTCTGACAACACGTCCCGCGGTTGTCAGTATTACATCTTTTTATCTATATATATATATATATATATATAGATATTTGTGTGGGTGTGGTGATTGCACCGCCCACTGTACTCTTTGCCTCTCTCATTATCCCTCTTGCTCTCCCCAGTATACGGCTCTGTGTGTCCCCTGTTAACTTTTGTCGTTGTTGTTGTTTCTTCGCTCGGTGTGGGGGACAAGCGGCGTGCCTGATGTAAACTAGGTCCAGCGGTGACGCGGGGGGGAGTTGGGGCGTGCTGTGGGGAACGCCCAAAGGCTTGTCTATGCGGGTATGCAGACACGAAGATACGTGTATGCATGTGTCTATTCTTCCTTCTCACGCACTTTTGTTTTCTCTTTGCCGACATGTCTCTCTCTCTCGCTGTGTGTGTGTGTGTGTGTGTGTGTTTGATTTGAAGTTCCTTCGTTCTTGGGCGACTGGGCGGTGGCGTGGCTGCTGCTCCTGCGTGTGTCGCGGTAACGAGAATCGTGACAGCAACCAGCAAGCGCGGTGGGGGAGAACTGAAACAACAACGAGGAAGAAAAAAAGGATGGTGACTCCTGGTGTGGTAACGGAGACGAACGTCATCTCGATCGACGGTCCAATCCTGACGCCGAAGCAGGAGCAGGAGAAGTGGCTTGGTGAGGCGGTGCAGGCGGTCCGGGAGCACGCGGCGAGCATGCAGGCGCACATGCGCCAGCGCGAGTTCATCAACGTCCTCCGAAGCGCGTCGCATATGCTCGCGGAGCTCCGCACCGGCATGCTGGCGCCGCAGAACTACTATGAACTGTACGTGAAGGTCTTCGACGAGATGCAGCAGCTCGAGCAGTACATCGAGGAGGAGTACAGGCGCGGCCGCCCGCTGGAGGAGATGTACGAGGTCGCGCAGCACGCTGGCTGCATTGTGCCGCGGCTCTATCTCCTCATCACCGTCGGCGCGGTGTACATCAAGTCAGGGGAGCAGCCCGCGCTGGAGATACTGCACGACCTGCTGGAGATGTGCAAGGGCGTGCAGCACCCGACGCGCGGCCTGTTCCTGCGTCACTTCCTGTTGTCGATGATGAAGAACAGGCTACCGGGTGACAGCAACCGCGTTGTGGCCGACAGCGTGGAGGGCGACGGCGGCACTGTTGAGGACACCGCGGAACTGCTGCTGCAAAACTTCAAGGAGATGAACTGGCTGTGGATACGCATGGAGGCGAAGGGGCCGGCGCGGACGGAGTCGCAGAGCGTGGTTCAGCGCAAGCACAGAGACCGCAAGGAGTTGTGTGTGCTTGTCGGTATGAACATTGTTCGCATTTCTCAGCTGGAAGGGGTGGAGCGGCAGGTGTACAAGAGCAACATCCTCCCGCGCCTCCTCAGCATTATCGTCAAGTACCGCGAGTCGCTGGCGCAGCAGTACCTCCTGGAGGTGATTGTGCAGGTGTTCCCCGACGAGTTCCACCTCTTCACGCTGGACGACCTCCTCGGCGCACTCGAGCACGTCTCACCGAGCGTCGACGTGTGTGCCATTCTGGCGTCGCTGATGGAGCGGCTCGGCAACTACGCCACCGCGCTGCGCGACGGGGTCGCGGAGGCGGGCAGCCGCAAGGAGGAAAAGCAGCTGCACAAGATGTTCGACACCTTCAAGGCGCGCCTCGACGCGATGCTCTGCGGCCGCGACGCGAGGCCAAGGATCGCCCCCACCACCAACAACAACAGCACCAACAATAGTCATAGTAGTGCCGTCAATAGCAACAGTGGCAATAACAACAGTAGCACCAGCAGGAGTGGCGGTAACCTCAACTTTATGTTGCCGTCGTACGTCAAGTCGATGCTGTGCCTCGTCGAGTTGTCGCTAAAAACAGACCCTGTTGCAGCCGTGGCGCAGATTGGAGTTGTGCTGGGAAGCATTGCGGAGCGTATGACATCCCCACCGCGGGACGTCGTCGTTAAGACGGTGGAGCGCATGATTGCGTACGTCATCAAGACACTCAAGGACCCGAGTGTTGTGCTCACCGTTGAAAACCTCGACGTGCTGACGCAAAAGCTCCCCTTCGCCTCGCGACGTGAGGTGTCCCTCACGCTGTGTACAACGATTGTGCAGTTGGCGCCCTCACGCCGCATCGCCACGCTCGAATTGGCTGCGCGGCTCTTCGAGCTCATCGTGCCGCTCGTGCGTGACGAGCCGGACGCGCCGCGGCGGCGCGGCGACGGGCACGACACGGCGGTGGAGTTTTTGGAGGAGCAGCACCTCGTGTGCCGCGTGCTGCACCTGCTGCAGTGTGACGACCTCGCGATGCAGATGAAGATGCTGAACGGCGTGCGCAAGCAGCTTGGCCAAGGTGGACCCGAGCGTGTAGTGGTAACGCTGCCGACGCTGGCCTCGTTGTACATGCGCCTCGCACTGCGTGTGAAGGCCGCAGCAGCGGGGCAGGATGAGGCAGACGGCGGGGATGGAGCGGCAGCAACGGCAGACGGGCTGTCGTGTGCGAAGCCGTTTCACTTCATCCACTCCGGCGACGGCAAGGGCATTCTGGAGATGCTCGCGGGTGAAGTGCCGCAGCAGACATTTCACCTCTACCTCGCTGCCGCCAACGCGGCCGACGTGTGCGGGCTCGCCGATGTGGCGTACGAGCACTACGTGAGTGCCTTCCAGATCTACGAGGAGTGCGCCGCCGACACGCGGGAGCAGATAGAGATGATGGGCTGCATGATCTCCTCCTTGTACGGCCTGCGCGCTATGCCAGAGGAGAGCTACGAGCTGCTCGCCACAAAGGTCTGCCAGTACAGCTCCAAGCTGGTGCGCAAAAGCGACCAAAGCCACGTCGTCTCGTTGTGCGCCCACCTCTTCTGGAAGAGCGCGCTGTCCGACGAGAGCCACCACCGCGTGCTGGAGTGCCTGCAGCGCGCGCTGAAGATTGCCAACCACGCCCAGCCGGCGCAGCAGCTGCCGCTCTTCGTCGAGCTGTTGAACCAGATGCTCCACTACTACGCCGGTAGGGCGCCGGGGGTCACGGTGAAGTACATCACCACCCTCATCGACCTCGTCGAGGATGCCAGCAGCAAGGCCGCTGAGGAGGACCGCAATAACGACATGTACAGCGGCGGCGGCGGCAGCAGCAATGAGAATGGCGATGGTGAGAACAACTCGTACGAGTCAGCGCGTCGGTTTTACCGCAACACAGCGCGGTACATTCGCTCGCGCCAGCAGGTGGATGAGCGCTGGGGGGCCATCGGCGAGGATCACGAGAGTGAGGGTGACGCTGCTGATGCCGCTGCCGCGGGAGAAGGCTAGGACCACACGCATAGCGAACAAGTCAAGAATCACACGAGGAATAGAGAGGAGAGGAGGATCAAGAAGAAAAAAAAGATAGGGACGAAGGATTTATTGAACGGCGTACCTGCTTGCGGGTGTGGGTAGGGTGCCAGGAGACAGCACGAGCAAGCGGCTCTTTTAACCAACGAAAGCGAAAACAAAATGAAAAGGGGGCGGAAAGTGACGGCGATAACAGAAAGGAATATATTGCGCTAATTGACATTTTTTTTT